CTCCTCTCTCTCTCTCTCTCTCTTCTCTCTCTCTCCTCTCTCTCTTTCTCACCACCACACACGCACACACACACCTCTCTCATTCTCACTCACTCACTCACTGTTCGTCTTGTGTACTTATTTAGTACATTCATGATTAAACATCTATATGCATTAATGTGAAATTTACTTACAATTAGTTTACTTGAAATATTCAATCTCTAAATGTTTATCTTATAAGATAGACAAAAAAATCTGAGTAAATAATAAGAAAAAAAAAACAAGGATTATTATTGTCATAATTTTTTATCAATTAAGTACTCTCAACTATCCAATAATTAAATAAATACGTACAAATGTGCGCGCGTGTACACACATACACATATTGATATTAAAGAGATTGAAGGAGAGGAAGGAGAAGATAAAAATTTAAATATTCACATATATTTTCAAATATTATATATGAATTTATAGTTTACATATCTAATTAATAATGAATTTCTAATTATATTAAACATATCAAAATAAAGACATACATGTATTTATCAAATGAATAAAATTATTGAATACAGACTTCAAAAATTTATTAAACATAGACTTAAAAAATTAATTAATTAAACATATTCCAAATTTAGAAAAAATAAACTTTATTTATATATGCAACAGCTTTTTAAACTAAATTTTTAAATTCTATTTTATATTAGACAATTATCTCAATCAACATCTACGTCCACATTAGCTGCACTGCAGACTACCTCTACAGCCACATTATCTGCTCCGCGGATATAGCGTTATGCCAATACGATACATTACATGTACTTACTTACTTGCCTTTACTGTACCAACTCTTGTTCTTTCCACGTAATCATGTTTTTACAGTTATCGTTTGCTGTATATCTTCTAGCAAACATTATTTCGTGTGAAGTGTATTTAATTAATTAAATCTCTGCGAAAGATTGAGAAGATGAAGGGATAATTCAAACTATGAAGACATGGTTACATGGAAAAGACAAGAGTTGATACAATAATAAAGACATACATGTATTTGTATCCTGCTGGCATAAGGTTATAGAAGTTGATTGAGATTGAAAAATAATAATGAAAATAATAAAAAAAATAAAGACACATGTATTTGTATCGTGCTGGCATAAAGTTATAAAAGTTGATTGAGATTGAAAAATAATAATAAAAATAATTAAAAAAAGGAAATATTCAATCATCATTTAAAAGCATATTTGAAATCTGTAGAATAAACAGTTTTTGCAAAAAATGTGGAGCATTTGAGCTCTAGTAAATCTAAAAATAAATGTAAACATCAATTAATAATAACTGATGTTATATATATATTATATATATAAACCAATTTGTTGCAATATTCACTATAAAAGGTTGTAAGGGTAAGATGGCTAAAAGTGAATAATTTAAAAGATAGTTAACATAATTTTACATAAACTGAAATATTTCATAAAATAAAATATTTGTAATATTTCGAAGTTTATGTAAGATTATGTAGATACATAAAAATTATACCTTTACAACTTTTTATAGTAAATATTGCGAGGAATCGATTTATATGAGAAAAATTAAGGTAATTCTATTTTGAAAATATAAGTGACCTTTAAATAACCTTGAAAATCGCCGTTTATGAAAAAGTCTGTGTCAACTTTTTCTTTTTCGAAATCCTGCAACTTTTATCTAAATTTAATAGAAAATGTATAAAAAATGCTCGACATTAGTACACACACACACACACACACACATATGGGTAAATTTATATAAATAGGGTGCTTTAGGAGGAATGATCAGGATTCTAGGATATGATTGTACACATCATTTTAAGCAAAGAAGTTTAGATAAACATGTTTAATAATTGTTCTATTCCGGTCATAAAAATATACAAAAATGAATGATATAATCTCTAAAAACTCACCTTTAAAAAAAGGTAAAAAAGGCGACCAGTTAAGGGCACGCCATTAACAAAAATTATCCATTGCAAACCCATGTAGAATCCTATCCTATTGCAAACCCATGTAGAATCCTATGAAAAATTAATCATTGCAAACCCATGTAGAATCCTAGGCAAAATTAACCATTGCAAACCCATGTAGAATCGTACCCATTGCAAACCTATGTAGAATCCTATGAAAAATTAACTATTGCAAACTCATGTAGAATCCTATGAAAAATTAACCATTGCAAACCCATGTAGAATTGTATTAAAAATTATCCATTGCAAACTTATGTAGAATCCTACATTGCAAACCCATGTACAATAGAATTGTATGAAAAATTATCGATTATAAACCCATGTACAATCGTAACAAAAGTAATGAAATAAAAAAAAATTGCGCCAAGTGAAAGTAGAAACTTGTACCAGTGGAAAATTAAAGTTGCAGACATATATAGAGTCGTATAATGAATCAGTAAAAATTTAAATTTGCAAATGTAGAATCGTACCATAAAAAAACTTATCTTTTAAAAAAAAAGATAAACAAGATGCCAAGTCCATGCGCCATGTGAAAAAGAAATAAAAAAATTTTAGTTAAAAAAACTGGGAGCGCTGCTAAATAATATTCTAACAATATTAAAATTAAATTGTTACTTTTAAACTCATTACAGTTAAAATATGTTTTGTGTTTAAATTAATTAATGTTACTTTAAGGTGCATTGTAATTTTGAAACTTAGCAGCGCGCCCAGTTTTTTTAACTAAAATTTTTTTATTTCTTTTTCACATGGCGCATGGACTTGGCATCTTGTTTATCTTTTTTTTTAAAAGATAAGTTTTTTTATGGTACGATTCTACATTTGCAAATTTAAATTTTTACTGATTCATTATACGACTCTATATATGTCTGCAACTTTAATTTTCCACTGGTACAAGTTTCTACTTTCACTTGGCGCAATTTTTTTTTTATTTCATTACTTTTGTTACGATTGTACATGGGTTTATAATCGATAATTTTTCATACAATTCTATTGTACATGGGTTTGCAATGTAGGATTCTACATAAGTTTGCAATGGATAATTTTTAATACAATTCTACATGGGTTTGCAATGGTTAATTTTTCATAGGATTCTACATGAGTTTGCAATGGTTAATTTTTCATAGGATTCTACATAGGTTTGCAATGGGTACGATTCTACATGGGTTTGCAATGGTTAATTTTGCCTAGGATTCTACATGGGTTTGCAATGATTAATTTTTCATAGGATTCTACATGGGTTTGCAATAGGATAGGATTCTACATGGGTTTGCAATGGATAATTTTTGTTAATGGCGTGCCCTTAACTGGTCGCCTTTTTTTACCTTTTTTTAAAGGTGAGTTTTTAGAGATTATCGTCTTTACACCATCGGAATTTTATAATTTGCTCCCACCAGGAAGCTCATCCCCACCAGCAACAAATTCGGCAGCCGACCGAACACCGATACAAATGTGACACACTTAATTGGAAAAAGCTAAAGAGAGAGTTCGTGTTTTGATTGTGTTCCGAGTTCTTTTGCTTTAATCTTTGAATTAACTATTTTTGTTTGAATCGGAAGATTCTTGTGAACACACACACACACACACACACACACACACACACACACACAGGTAAAAATTGATAAAGGACGGTCGTACTGGTTTGCCATCGCCCGTGAGCTTCGGTTAAAAATTTTTGTAACAATCTCAGTTTATTTCTTTTATTTAAAATATATATATTTAATGTCAATTTAAATATTTGTCACATTTATTTAAAGCTACTAATTATCTTATTACTAATTATGCTACTAATTATCTTATTATACAATATCTTATATATTTATGTTCGTCTTTTCTTTCTAGCAATAGCAGCAAGTCTAGCAAAAGTGTTTACTTGCTCAATATCAAGTCTGGCAAAAGTGTAATTGACAGGAAAAAATTGTTTAAATATTTTCACACATTTCTACGTGAAAAAATAAAATGTCGTGGATATGGAGTTATATTTTGTATTGGTTTCAATTATTAGCTTTAAAGATTATAAAAACTGGTCAAATACCTAAACATGTGGCAATAATGATGGATGGTAATCGACGTTATGCGAAAAAACGTAATATGGCCAAAATGGATGGAAATAAAAAAGGGTATGTGTCTTTGAAAAGAGTTTGTATTTATATATTAATCTTTTTTATTCTCTTATATCATGTACATATACGTTATGTTTCCTTTATAGATATGATAAACTGATAGAAGTAATTGATTGGTGCACGAACTTGGGTATTACAGAAATCACAGCATATACTTTTAGTATAAATAACTTCAATCGCAGTAAAAATGAAGTTAATGGATTTATGAAATTAGCCAGATACAAGTTTAAGCTTATGTTAGAAGAGAAGTATATACAAAATTCTAAATTGGTCATATACATATCTATCTACCTATCTATCTATATATGTATATATATATATATATATATACAAAATGCAACATTATATACAGGGTGTTCGGCAACAGGTGGGCCAAAATGTAAGAAGTGATTCTACATGATAAAATAAGACGAAAATGAAGAATGACAAAATTGCGTCCGAGACTTCGTTCATTAATTATGAATATTTTAAACTTCGCATTAAGAGCGCCTGACGCACGGTAATCTGCCGATATCTGGCGTACGTAAGGTACATCGGTAGAGTTGCCGTCAAAATACACTGTGACGCATAAGTATACAAAAACTTACCTCGTAACAGTTGATGTATATTTTGCAATATTTAGCTTAGAACAACATTCCTTTCACAACATACATCGCGATTATCCCGTCTACAAGATTTATCCACAAAAAATTTTACACGAATCATAATAACATTAACAGTATAACTTTTTTTATTCTGTCGTAGACAGACCACGATTCTTCTGTGAAAGTGCTATCTTTCGTTTTGAAAGTCAATCATCATGTTCTGTAATACACTTGATGCAAATTAAATTTCTTGTTATTTTTCCAGTATTTATCCAGTTAACTGCATGAGACATAGTTTTTAAATGTTCCTAAAAGAAAAAAAGAGGACTTAAATCTGACCCGCCGCGAAGATAATTTTATCGCCACGAGTTCCTGGCCAAATATTTATAGAAAAATGTCGCAATGAATTTATTTCTATCAGTGCTCTTTTAAAATATGCTACACAGTATTATTCCTGATTCGTTCTATTGCTGCAATTCTATCTTTTATGTCCGAGTCACATTGATTATGTCCACCGGATCTGCTTTTATCATTTTGGTATCCTGCAATCTTTAATGACGCTTTGAGAATATTTATTTTTATCAGGATATGTTTTTTTTTTCATAAATACGTCTATTTTCGGTAGTATTATTTATTTGAACGTATAAAAAATGCATATCTTTAAGTTCATGAAAAATATAACTTTTCAAGATAACGAAGAATGTACGAACAATGCACAAGTTAGTATGAAAATTATTACAGCACACTTTCATAAACTAAAATACTTGCTGTACGCATTGTTCGCAACGACAAAAGAATTGTTATTAAAACAAACGAGAAATACGGCAGTTGACGACGGCGGCGGTAGCCTTTTTTTAGTTTGTAGTCTGTAAAAGTGTGCTATAGTAATTTTTATACTGACTTGTGTTTTTTCAATATTTTATAAAATGAATTATACTTTACTTGAACTTACAGATATGCATTTTTGTTATGGTCAAGCAAATGGTAATGCCACCGAAGCCAGACGTATTTATGAAGAAAAATATCCAGATAGAAATATACCAAATAGGAAAACATTCACAAGGCTTCATCAAAGATTGCGAGATACCGGAATGTTAAAAGCTAAAAGATCCGGTAAACATCATCATCGTGATGTGGACTTAGAAGAAAGAGTGTTACAGTACATTGAAGAAAATCCTTGCTCAAATACGAGAAAAATTGCAGCAATAGAAGGAATAAGTAATGCTACTGTATGGCAAATTTTAAAAGAGTAACAACTACATCCATATCACTATCAACGGGTACAAGAATTGGAAGCAGGAGATTTTGAAAGAAGAATTAATTTTTGTACGTGGATCTCGTCTAAAATTACAGAGGATCCAGATTTTACGTCGAAAATATTATTCACCGATGAGGCAAGTTTCAATAGATACGGCATAATTAATTTTCATAATGATCACGTTTGGGCTGATGAAAATCCACGAGCGCTGAAAGTAATAAATACTCAGCGACAATTTTCTACAAATATTTGAGGAGGAATTCTTGGCGACAAAATTATTGGTACTGTTATTTTGCCTCATCGGTTGACAGGACAAGCATACATGGAGTTTTTACAATTTCGGTTGCATGAACTTTTAGAAAATGTATCACTACAAGTGCGCAGAGACATGTGGTTTATGCATGACGGTGCACCACCACATTATTCTGCAAATGTGCGAGAATATTTAAACAATAATTTTAGAAATAATTGGATTGGTCGAGGAGGACCTGTCCCTTGGCCAGCTTGTTCTCCAGATTTGAATCCCCTCGATTTCTTTTTTTGGGGACATTTAAAAACTTTAGTATATTCCACACTTGTGTTAACACTGGAAGAATTAGAACATAGGATTCAATTTACATCAAATGTAATACAGAACATGATGGCTGACTTTCAAAGCGTAAGACAAAATTTCCAAAGAAGAATTGAGCTCTGTCTACAACAGAATGGAGGATACTTTGAACATTTGTTATAATGTTAATATAACATGTTATGTTTCGTGTAAAATTTTGTATGTTGTAAAAAGACTGTTGTTCCGCGCTAAATATTATACAATGTACATCAATTGTTACGATGTAAGTATCTGTGTACTTATGCGTCACAGTGTATTTTGACGGCGACTCCACCGATGTACCTTTTGCACGCCAGATATCAGCAGATTGCCGTGCGTCAGGCGTCCTTAGTGCGAAGTGTAAAATATTTATAATTAATAAACGAAGTCTCGAACGCAATTTTGTCATTCTTGATTTTCGTCTTATTTTATCATGTAGAATCACTTCTTACATTTTGGCCCACCTGTTGCCGAACACCCTGTATATATATAATGTTGCATTTTGTAATAATAGATCTATCAGATTATGTTGTAACTAGCTTTAATTCCGCGCTTTAATTAATTAGAAATCCGATTTTCTCGAAATTAGTATCAAAATGTTGCAAATTTGTCGGAAAAAGCTACAATGTGTTTTTTAATTTTTATTTTTTCTTTGATTTTAGAGAAAATTCCATTATCGTGAAAAAATGTTTTCAGATTTCTAACTAATTAAAGTGCGGAATTAAAGCTAGTTACAACATAATCTGATGGATCTATTAATACAAAATGCAACATTTTTAGGAATAAATGGGATGAAAAAGGAATACGTATACGTGTAATTGGCAATTTGGCCTTACTTTCAGAAGAAATGCAAAAATTATTGGCCAAAATGATGATTACCACTAAAAACAATAATAAAATAACTTTAAATCTTGCTTTTCCTTATTCATGTAAGATGACTGTATATGTTTAAACTCATGATATTTTTCATTAAATAAGAATTTACACAATATTTTGATATCTTTGCGTAGCAAGGGATGAAATTACGCATGCAGTTAAGGATATATTAAGAGGTGTAAAACATGGTGATATTTTACTAGAAGATATAAATGAAGACCTGATTTCTCACAGTTTATATACTTACAAATCTACAAATCCAGATTTATTAATTCGTACTTCTGGAGAAGTTCGACTTAGTGACTTTCTCTTGTGGCAAGTAAGAAGATACAGTTTAATAAACATTTTTTATTTACTCTAAAGAAGATATACTAATTAAAATAATTTTAATTACTAATTTTAAATCCTTTTTTAGATCTCCAATACTTGTATCTATTTTTCCAATGTATTATGGCCTGAATTCAATTTATGGAATTTTCTTAGTGCTATTTTTTATTATCAAAGGTGCTATTCTGACTTGCAAAAAGTCGCGAAAATAGAAAATTTGAAGCCAATTGTGCACAATGATAGAGTATCTATGTATGTTAATAAGTTGCATCATAAACGCGAAGATATGATTGAAAATTTATATCTATCGACAGTTCAACCATAAATATTGAATATAAATGGGTACCTAACAATTATATTGACCATACGTTAAATACTTTTAATTTGTTACACCCACGTATACAATTCACAGTTGAAAAAGAAAAAAACCATAGTTTGAGTTTTTTGGACATCAAATTAATATCAAAAAATAATAAAATTATTTGCGATTGATTTAGAAAGCCTACGTTTTCTGGAAGGTATTTGAATTTTCTTTCGCAACACCCTATATGTCAAAAAAGAGGCACAATTGTCGGTCTGATTGATAGAGTAATTTTATTATCACATCCTTTATTTCATCAAAAAAATATAGAAATGATTATTAACATCCTAATCAATAATAATTATTCGGTAAAATTCATATTTGACACAATTAAATATAGACTAAAAACTCTAATTTATACTAGAAGTAATATTCCAAACAACAGTTTAAGTCAGTCAAATAACTCTTCTTTGTTTTTTACTGTACCTTATTTACCGAATATTACTGAACAATTGATAGGTATCACAAAAAAAGCTGACACTAGACTCTCTTATGTAAGTATGAATAAATTAGAGAAGTTTATAAAAACACATAAAAATAAAATATCTAAAGGAGCGAATACTAATGTAGTACATAAAATCAACTGTAAAAATTGTGATGCCTCATATGTGGGTCAGACTAGCAGAAAATTGAATACTAGGATAATGGAACATAAAAAACACATCAACAGAAATTGTTCTAATAAATCAGTTGTTACTGATCATAGAATAGAGTTCTCCCATGATTTTGACTGGGATAAAGTAAAAATTTTAGATAAAGAACCGTATTATAACAAAAGACTAATATCGGAAATGTTATATATAAAAAGACAATCCAATGGATTGAATCTACAAAAGGATACTGAATATTTGCCTGATATATATAATAACATTATAGAGTCTCTGCCAAAATTATCAGGGTTTAAAAGCAAACCTTGATATAAAAAGGTGAAACAACGAGTTACTATCTCATTTGATATCTGAGAGTTGTGACGGTTGGACGTTTTGTTTTGTCTTCACTAAAAACATTTAAAAAGATGTCGGATCTGATACTTGAAACTTCTATAAAATAATCACCATTTTGTTTGAGTGAGTGTGTAGTGCATTTTACTTGGCAGATTATAATGAATAATTAGATATTGTTTATTTAGATCTCAATTTAATGATTAACAACATTTCATCATGAAGATTTAATCAAGATATCTCTCTTGACCAGTAAATCAGGAAGTCTATACTCGTTATATTCCGTTTTATTATAGCAATGTAACAATTATATATTGGTGTTTGCTAGGAATAGTACTATCGAATTACAAGTTAATATTGATAGAATAAAATTATTTAAATCGAGTATAAAATCTATGTGGCCTATTCTAATTAAAATACACTTCAAGCGAGATATTTATAAGCCTTTCGTAGCTGCTGCTTATGTGGGAAATAGCAAACCAAAATCAGTCAATTTATTTTTGAAGGATTTCATTGCTGAGGTCAATATCCTGCAAAATAGAGGCATAGTTATTAATAACAAATATTATAGTATAAATATAAAGTGTTTTATCTGTGACACACCTGCCAGAGCATACCTTAAATGTATTAAGGGTCACAACGCAAAATATGGTTGCGAACAATGTCTGGTAGAACGTCAAACTCATCATAAAATTGCCACATATTTAGACATTAATTCTTCCAAAAGAACCGATGAAAGTTTTCGAAATTTTTCACATGTGGAACATCATACAGCAGCATCACCTTTAATATACATACAGCCATCAGTGAACATGGTCAATGATTTTCTTCTCGACTTGATGCATTTGTGTTATCTAGGAGTCATGAAACGTTTAATTGATGCTTGGATGTTATCTGATTTTAATACACATCTTAGTAGCAGTCAGAAGAGAATATTATCAAGCCAAATGGAGAAAATAAGATTTCAACAGCCCGACGAATTCCATCGAAAGATTAGAGGTATTGAGCACCATGCTAGATTTAAAGCCATGGATTATCATTTTATCTTGTTATTAACATTTTTTATTACTTCATGTAGCTTGTCGAATGTTATCGATGGAAAATGCAGTTGAATATACAAATTATATAGAAGAATTACTTACCAAGTTTATTGTTCTAGCAGAAAAACTTTATGGTCCACAATTTGTAGTCTTAAATGTCCATAATTTAATGCATATTTCAGATGATGTAAGAATTATCAGTTTTCGATGAAATAAACAGAGAAAAAATATTTGTAATTTCTCTTTTGCATTAAATGTACATATATTTTATATGTATAATTATAATTATATGCAAAATTATAAATACAATTTAAAAGAAAGCAAAATAAAAGAAAGCATTTTCTTTTGAAATTTTCCCTAAAAATCATAGTAATCGTGGGACAATATGGTAATGGAAAGAATTTTATGAGAATTTCTGATTAATATTTAGCATAATAAAAATATCTATCACAATAAAATATAAAATATGTTTGATTAATTTAACCATCCAGTTTAGTAATTTAAGTATACAGTAGAGTTAGTAATGTAAGCATTTTTATATATTTTAACTTTATTGCCGTATGTATAAGGGAAAGGAAAGCGAGAGAGATGTTAATCTATTTTATTTATATTTTCGTTTTACTTGTCCTTAGACGGTTTAGTTTTATTATGCGTTATATTTTTATTTATTTGTGCGACCGTCAACCTAATCTCTCTCGTTCGTAAGAATTATTGTTTTCGCGAGCACCGAACGATTTTATGTAAAATTGCTCCGATTGGTCCGGTACTTTGGGGTGGGAATATTTTAGACAAGCGAGTATAAAGGTGAGGATATTTGAGCGAGCGATACAGTTTGACACAGTTTTGACACAGTTTTGACACAGTTTTGACACAGTCATAAATCTGAGAAAGTACTTATTCTGGCGGCGTTACCAGCAGCTCCGGCGTCTGTATCGACTCTACAGTATATATATATATATACACATCGGATCGCAAATAAATACATTATACTGGAACATAATATACATATATATATCCTCACACACATCCTGACTAAATTATAATTAATTGAACGAGATCCATCCATCTGGCATAAATCTGAGGACCGCGAATCCAGTCAGCGACGAGGTAAAAAGGTTAGTGCTAACACTTATAGCGCGCTAACAGTAAAATTTATCAAACATTTTATATTTTATCGTAATAGATATTATTTTTGATGTAATAAATATTAATCAGAAAAATTCTCAAAATTTTTTTATACCATATTGTACCATGATTATCATAATTTTAAAGATAAATTCTAAGAGAAAATTCTTAGAGAAAAAAAAATAATTACGTGATATTTGTTGTCGATTTACAGGTTTGTAATTACATCTATAAACACTCACTAAAATTTCTACAATAATATATAGCATGTGGTCCCGGGTTCCAGCCCCGACTCATTGTCAGCAGTGAACAGTACTGTTAGCCCGGGTCTACAATGAGAGTTTTAAGACTTAAAATTTAAGAAATTGGCCAATCATATTCGTTATTCTTCTCTAAATTCAATTGTGATTAGTTAATTTCTTAAGTCTTAAATCTTAAAACTGTTATTGTAGACCCGGCCTTACGCAGTACGCACACATCGCACACAAGCGCGAGTCTTGTACATATAAGGTGCGTTCCGTGTTACGCATATGCGCGCATTTATCTATAGTACACGTCACGTTTACTACAGAAAATGCGCTCATATACATGAAACGAAATGCGGCCATAATGCGCACAGTTCTGCGCATTGAGTATGGTCAGTGGTCCGCGTGTTTATATTACTGCACGTGGAGTACGTGTTAAATATCTAAAAAGTTATTAACAGTGGTGAACGATAATCATGGATGGAAATTATTAGTCATCCTAAAGTCTGTTGTTGTGTCCGTAAACATGTTTAAACAGTTTGGACATTATTTTTGTGCTTTCACTGATCATTCGGATATTTCACTGACCGACCACGTGTACCGACTAGCGAATAGTGTACGCATATCTTTTGTTCTTTAGTGGTTCCAGATCCTTTCCTTTGCAAGCTTGCATTTTTTTTGTCAATATTACCACATTCGGGATAAAATTGCAATTGTAAGTATTAATTATGTTAATTATGAATTAGCGCGCACGCGCGCATACACACGCACGCACAAACGCACAATATATATATTACATATTATATATTCAGGACTATTCCTTTATTCAATTGTAAGATTAAGCGAACAATGCTAATTATTTATGTAAAAAGATAATTATATGTGTGTGTGTTTGTGTGTGTGTGTGTGTGTGTGTGTGTGTACATAATTATATTCTTTGCATATAAATAAAGATTACCATTATTTATTTAATCTCAAAATTGAATAAAATAATAGTCCTGAAGTATATGATACTTAACTTCAGCATCTATACATAAAGACAGGGTTGGGAAAGTTACTTTGTAAAAGTAACTAGTTACAGTTACAGTTATTTCATTGAAAAAGTAACTAGTTACAGTTACAAGTTACCGATTTTAAAAAATAACTCGTTACAGTTACTCTAAAAGTAACGAGTCGTTACTTTTTAGTTACTTTTTAAAAATAATTATACATTGTTTTAAATATAAGAAGCTTACATTTTATGCACAATTACAGTCAAGTATTTAAAAAAATTCTTGAATGTAATATTGATCGATTTGCTTGCGACTTTGCAATTAACATCAATGTATGAATGATCTTTATATACAACAGTAAAAATAGTAATAGTAAGTTACTAAATGGTAATCGCAAAGTCGCAAGCAAATCGATCAATTATTACCTTTAAGAATTTTTTTTTAATATTTGACTGTGATTGGTCGATCTTAATTATGTGTTATATTATTTTATGTACACAAAATGAAAATTTTAGGTAAAAGATTAAATCATATGAAGATCCATATGCTACTGTTATCAAAATTTAATTTAATAATATAACGGCTACCATACTTAAACAATACTTTTAGCGCATGTTTCCAAAAAAAGTAACTAATAAAGTAACTATTAAAATAGTTACTAGTTACTAAAAAAATGTAACTAAGTTACAGTTACAGTTACAGATGGAGAAAAGTAACGAAGTTAAGTTATAGTTACCAAAAAAAAGTAATTGTAGCTGTAACTTTGTTACAAGTAACTCGTTACTTCCCAACCCTGCATAAAGATACATACATATAATATATTTACAGATGTCTGACAGCGATAATGATGAACAAATAGTTCATTGATTCAAAATTGTGAGGTTTATTAAATGCGCAGAAAAGGTTCCACAAAAGAGATTGATATCGTTCCTTCAACTTGAATTAATTGGGATAAAAACACTAAACGATTGAAAGTTCCATTTCTTCCACCTCCATATACAACAGAAGGGATAAATAATCTCCATGATTTGGTTAAAAACGAAGTGGAAGCACCAGAGTCATGGCCACTGTTCAGTGTTGACATTGTTGGTCAAGCAAGTATGTATTATATACAATTTTATATTTTTTAAATAAAAGAAATTTAATAAAGTCCAAATTGATTAGATGCTCACAGACTAGCTTCATCCAACAGAACGTTCATCAATCTGTTGGATTGTATCTGATCTGGAAGCACCTTGATGCAGTTAAAAATTTTTCTTACGGATTGATTAAACAATGTAAGCTTATTTATTCGAAATTAATTATGATAAATTTAATAAAACAATAATCTTATTTCAGAAACATATTCAGATGCTGTTGATCGCTTAATGCTTCTTGATCAAAAGGAGACTGCTTTTTCACAGGATTCGGAAGATGACGAACTAAAAATTAAGAAAGCACAAGCAATTTATCAACAAAAGATTTAAAAAAAGTGCGGAAGAAATTAAAGAAATTTTTAGTAGAACTCCTATGTTTACAAAAAAATCTTGTAGTCAGTCAGATATGATTATATTTTAAAATGTACAATATTAATATTTATTTTAGTTAAATTTTTAACTGCATTAAGGTGCTTTCAGATTAGATACAATCCAACAGATAGATGTAGATTCTGTTGGATCAAGCTAGCATCTAATCAATGTGGACTTTATAAAATTTCTTTCATTAAAAAAAATAAAATTGTTGAAAAGTTTAGGATTTAATATTATATTATGTTATAGACCAACGTAAACCTGTCAAGTCATCCAAGTCATCAATGAATACCAAAGATGAAGTACAAATATCTTCGTAGTAATACTATTGTAAGCGAGTTAAGTAAGGCCATGTTTTTTATTTCATTGATGGATCAAGCGCATGATGCGCAAATGCTACACGTGCAGATTTGCGCATAATGCGCTTGATCCATCAATGAATTAAAAAACATGGCCTAAAGCTCACGGGCTACAAGTCATTTTACTGTACAATTATAGTTTAGTTAAAGTTCAACATGTAAAATTAATAAGACGAGTTCTATAATATTTATATTTTCTGAAATATAAATTTTAAATATATATATAAAAAAATATTTATACTTTATTTTATTATACCTTTTATAATTAATATTAGATATGTAGATAAGATAATAATGATTAATGAAAAATATATATGATGTAAAATCTATTACATATTATTGAAAATCAATAACTTTTTTTTCAAAAATCGAATATAGTTCAATAGTATTTTTTCGAAAGGGTGACACCTTAAAATCCTGAAACTAAATTTATTTAATTTATCATATATTTTTCATGCATATGCCACATCAATAACTCGCTAGTTCCATGTCTATACTATGTAGTACCTTACTGGCACCATGTTAGTGCCATGCCAGGATACCAAATATTTCCAAAGTTGTGGCACTAGCGGGCAAAACGTGACGATTCGAGGCATGGCGCTTACCAGCGTACCATGCCAGCTCCTGAAATGGCAGTATGGCACGCTTGTCATTGCCATGCAAGCGCCCAATCAAAATTTCTACCAGGGCAATTGTCAAACAATATCATTTATGATATACATACTATATGTATATCATAAATGACAGTTCCTATAAAAATATACAAATTAATATATTTTATTATTACTATTGTTAAAAACCGTACTCATGTCATTACCATTTCGATCGTACAGACATGAGAACTTAAAAATATTTATATAAAATATTATATAAAATAATTATATAAAAACCTTTTGTAAAAAAATATACATATAAATTATGAAGAAAAACATATTTACTTTATGTGCTCTGTTAATGAGGATCTGAAAAAATAATTAGAGATGACAGATGAAGTTGCAGTTAATATTATAATATAATACACTTTTACATTATTTCAAAGATTTTAACTAAAACCAGACGAAAAACCGCTTAAATTTTTTAAAACATTTGAATCTCGTTTATTATGTAAAATTGTATTACAAAATTTTCAAAGGCATAATTTAATGTAATTTATATTATAATAATAGAACATAATATTTTATTAACACACGGAATTCACTTTTTCCATTTTACTATAAAACACAAACTTATCCGCTTTAGAACGCTGTCAACAAATTTTTATTTAACAATCTACTTGAAACTTAGTGTGTATATTTGTAATAAGATGGTAAATATTAGAAATAAAATTAGACTTCGATTTTAGTGTCTTTTCTTGTAAAAGTCACTGACTTATCATGACAGCCCTACTGGTACAAAGTTGTATTAATAATTGTAGATGTTAATATTACAAAGAAAACCGTGTACAAACGTTATATTACTAAAAAAATATTTTTTATTTATAATGTATACATATGTGTATTATAATATATATTTTGTATATGCTTGCACAATTTGCTGCAAAATTTTCATAATTCTTCAAATCTTCTATATTATACTTAAAATAAGATTCTATTTCGGATTTTGTTGCGCGTTATCTATAATAGGAAATAGGATCGCGAACTAATCTGGGACAATAAATTATTTTTGTAAATATTTCTTCGAAATATTAATTTTTATTAATTTTTCAAATTAGTAACATTATTTAATCTTTAACATATGTATGTATATTGTGCATCTTTCTTTTTCTTTAAAAACTTCTAATTTCATTTACATTTATATAATGTCGAATATTTTCTTCTAAATCGTGTATTTTATAACGTGCAGTAATAATTTAAAAAAAAACGATAAAACATATTTCTGTTTACTACATGAAATTCTCACTGTGCATGAAAATATAGATTCAGATAATTAGATTGTGGGACAGATTTAACTAGTTTTTTTTAGTTTGCTTTCAAGTTGAAAACTACGCCACTTCGACTCTGAAGTTTCGACACAGATAATATAAGAAAATAAATATATTATTATATATATGACGGGATTTTAGAAAAAGGAAAAAGATAATAAGCAGAGGTTCTAAGGGAGACCTATAGTATCCTGAACAAGAATAATTGCCTTTGACATTTCTCAAGATCATTTAAAGATTTATTTAGGTTTTTTTTAATAAAACCACCCTAATTTTTTTACATCAATCAATTCCTCGCAATATTCTGCATAAAAACATATCAGGTCATCACATCAGGTCAAAAATGAATATTTCACGAGATATTTTATTTTTTAATTTAATATAATTTTACATAAAGTACAGTACAGGCCAAAATTATATATCCCTTTTGATTTTTTCAGGATACTTTGTTTTAAAGTGCACGGATTTCGACACGAATTATAACATGTTTTGACGGACGGTATAACATATATTAAATTATAATTAAATGTTATATTAATCTTCAAATCATGTTGTGATTCGATAAAGATTCACGCACTTTAAAACAAATTATGCTGAAAAAATCAAGAGGTGATATAAGTTTGGCTTGTACTGTTCATATTACATTTTGTCGAACATATTTCGTACATTATATTCCTTATGATAGAAACTCCCGCCTTTCAAGTTTGACTTTCAGAGGCTCAGTAGGAGATAGTAGAATATCAAAATTTAATTTTATTTTATCGATCGCGATACTTTTATCGACTTTAAACACAAATGTGCGTATCAAAGTTGCTAGTATAACTTTCGTGGAAATCATCGTATACTTCATACCTAAAAGATTTTGTCATAATTTAAAATAAATTTTATAATTTACATATTATAATTTATTAGTACCTACCTATGCAACTTCTAGGCCCGTTACTAAAAGCTATATAATAATCCCAGTAAGTGTTTCCCAATCTTTCGGGCAAGAATCTATCCGGATCAAACATTAAAGGATTCGGCCAATATTTTTTATTTCGAAGCACCTTTCCCAGTGCTATGATAATATCAGCATCTTTCGGTAAAATAAATTCTCCTAAAACATAAATCTTTTTGTAGAATTATAATAATAAAATTAAAAAAATGTTTTAGACAGAAAGAGTAGGACTCAAAAAAATTATTTTATGATGTTATCTATTTGATTTTGAGATGACCTTGAAAAAACCGGTCAAGCTTAACACGAATATTTTAAACAAAACCTTCTATTTTTTATTTCATATGCTTCTAGTTGATGTTGAGATCTTTTCAAAACACTATAATAAAATATTCTTTCATAAAGCACTTTTCGAGTTATAAGAATTGAAATTTAAGACTACAAGCAGAAAGAGCAGACAATTTTGTTGGAATAGGAGTTCTCTCTTATTTGTCAGACAAACAAAAAGTATCGTATAATTATATAGCACATTTTCCTCGTGTGAAACATTTGCTTGCAACAAATTGAGTTTGCACAATTCTGAAAAAAGCTTTGATGTTAAGTATATTTTTTATTATATAATACTCGAATATATATGTAGATTCTGTTAAATATCTACTTAAAATTAAAACTAATATATTTTATTATCTATATTTGTTTAGTTTGTTTGTAATTCACGATTAAGAAAAATTGATAAAAAAATATAATTTTATTTATTAAATGCATTTATTATATTCTTTCTGTTTCCGTTTTTTTTTAGTTCAAATATATTGGTTTAATTACGGGAAAATCGCATGACTTTTAATAAATAATGTATTGTAAATTATACATAATTTGTGTATCTATGAACAAACCCAATCTTAAATCTTCGGTTAGTTGTCGTGCGATTAAAGGCACCGCAGGGAATAATCGCATCGTTTCTTTAATAACGCGATCCAGATAGTCCATATACTGTAAATCTTCATATTTAATTGATGCGAATTTGGGACTTTCTAGTCCGTAAATTCCCAACAATTCCTGATATGCTTTTTCCTTTTTAGGGAAATAAATGCTAATAAGTGCATGCAATATAATTATAAGGTTCAATAATTTTATATATATATATATATATATATATATATATAAGACATGCAATTATACATATATTCCCTGGCGGGCCAACTAGATGGACTACAGACAAAAAGTAGACATAATCTTAGACTTTGTTTTAGATGCATTCTGGACATTGGAACACGTCCACCAGTCTCATTTTTAGACTACCTTATCTAATATTTGTTTATATACCGTCTAAAAACTGTCTACGTTGCCAAAATATTGAAATAATCTGTCTAAAATCTGTCTAATCGGTTTCTAAATATTGCCCACAGTTTGGACAACTTGGACAACATTCTGATAAATGATATGAGCTTTTCAGAAATCAAACTGATCAACTCTATTTTATGTTAATTTTTTATTTCAATACCGATTATGTATTTAGCACTGTTTTGGTACTAAAATAAAAAAATTAGAAAATAGAATTAATTTACAATATTTCTTGAAAGACTTATATGATTTGTCAAGACGTTCAAAACTGTCAAGATCTCACTGAAAGACAGTGAGAAACTAAAATGTGTAAAAAAGATGAATAATATATAAATATACATCTGAATTTCTTATGTTGGGATCGTATCAGAAATATTAAACTGATCAAAATAATAATAATCGCAATAGCCGCTTTTTGCGCTTTATATAATTCTCGTAACTAAACTTGAATACGAGATAGATAGTGCGTTTTGCATCGCATAATGGCAAATGAAGGAACTATTACAAGATAATAACAGTTTTGTATAGAATATGAATAATAGTTTTTTGAACAAGTTTTAGAACAAATTTAGACAGATTCCTGTCTTGAAGTGTTGGATAGTTTTGTGTAGTTTTTAATAGTGTAGACAATGTTTTTTAGATAAGTCTTAGACAAAATCTAGACAGATTCCTGCTAAAAAATGATGGACAATCTGAACCAGTTTTGTACAGAGTGTGGACAATAGTTTTCTGAACAAGTTTTAGATATTTAGACAAATTTCTGCGGATAAATAATGGACAATCTGAACCAGTTTTGTACAAAGTGTGGACAGTAATTTTCTGAACAAATCTTGGACAAAGTTTAGACGAATTTTATCCAGTGTTGGATAACATGGACTAAATTTAGCCATAATCTAGACATTGTTTTTCGACAAAATCTAGATGAATAAAATCTAGACTGCCTATTCAAGAACTGGATGTTTTATGTTGGTT